AGTCAAACAATAAAATTATGTTAAAAATTCCTAGACAACGGTTTCCTGACTCAAGCATTCGATGTTATTTCAAATCCATTACGATTCAGCCAAATCTTCATTTCTCGAACTTTATTATTATTTATTTCGGAATTCCACTTGTTCATAATAAGACATTGCTATTTGACACAAGCTCTATCAAATGTTTCTGTACTTAATTTCAGCTACGTGGGTAGCTTAAGCTACTCAAGCATAGTACCTGAAAAATAATACTAGTTTAGTATTATTTGCATAAACATTCATTAATTTGCATAAACTCAGCATATACAAGGTGTCTAGAATTAAAGAACCCTAGTTTAAAGCTGCCTACAGGCGAAATCAGTCATCAGACAATTGTGAAATTTTTAAACGAACTTAATAAAGGGATGGGAATGTCTTTCAGCGAAAACAAATCAGTTATAAATATCGCCACCAGAGAATAAGCCACACATTTACAAAAACTTTACAATTTAGAAAACTGTATTGCAAAAAAACGTATTCAACATAATGGCCATCATTTTCAACTACCATATGAAATTGCAAGATGGCGTGTTCCATAGTTGACTAAAGTGTGCTTTGAGAAATGTTGTGCACGTGGCATGAACTGCTGGCTTTATGATCAGGTAAAGTTCTTAGATTGTCACCAGATGTTTCAAATGCCCTCAAACCCAAACATCTTATTTATTGAAGTCTGGGGATCGGGGAGGCAACAATATACGAACGTGCCGGCTGATGACACATTCTTCTCAAAAATGATGTTTAAGAACATTAGTAACACACCATGCAATATGTGGAGAAACTCTATTGCATAACGATTGTGCCTGCAAGGCTCTGTGTTGCAGAAATGTTGCAGCTGTTTTCGGAGCCTGAAAAATTTCGTTCTCTAACACAATGAATATTGCTGCCTGTGACTGAGCATATCACTGGACATATAGAACTTAACTCCTCGAAGATGTATGGGCCAAGAATACGTGATGCAGAAAATCCAAACCATATTGTCACTTTTGGTAAATACAACGGAGCCCCTAAGATAGCGAGCGGAATTTTTGGTTCCCGAATTCGGCAGTTGTGTGTATTCACTACACTGTCCAAATGAAAATGCGCTTTATCTGCCCAGAAAATATTCCAAGGCTTTTCTGAATCGACCTCAAAGCGAGCAAGAAATTGAAGTGAAAACCGAAGTCGAACTTCAACATCATGCGGAAGCAACCGCTGCACCAGTCAAAGTTTGTAAGGATAATATCGGAAGAAATTCCGCAAGATCTCGTGGACAGCTGAACGTGGCCTGTCTAACGCCTTTTTATATGCCGGACACTAGTACGAGGCTGAAAGTTTGAAGTTGTATCCTCTACCACTTGAAGCGTAACCTCCTGTACTGCTTTTGCAGAAACGGGGTTTCTTCCTCTTCCAGGATGAACAGAAAACTATCCTGTTTCTTCAGATTTCGTTATCATTTTAAGAAGTTGTTAACTTTCATTGGACTTCTTCGAATTCCTTTCAAAGTCCAAAATTTTCGTAAAACAGCTACTGTGGAGTTGCTGCTTTGGTAAAACAGTTTTACTAATAAAGTGCGATCTCGTAAAAGATTAAATGAAAACAAGCAGCAAGCACATTGAAAACAAAATCTTTGCGAATGCTTCTTGGTTTTATAACAGCTGCTGCGTAACGTCGACGAAAATTTACATTTTTACTACAGGTTTTTAAAGTAAAGCTCCCTCTAGCGCCCCCATTGGTATCTAAATTGTTTTCTTTGAAAGACATTTCCTTCACAAAATCCGCCACAAATTTAATGATTTTCTGACGATTGGTTTTGCCTGTAAGCAGCTTTGAAATAGGGTTGTTTAATTCTGGACACCTTGCACACGAACTAAAAATTTCAGCTTATTCATCGTCTACCTTAATAAAGGCTCGAATAACTGAACAGATAAAGTAAAGTTTATTTCAGGACTACATTTCAAGAGCCATTCAGGATAATTAGTAACATCTGCTGCCTTCCTCTTATTTAAAATAAAAAAGTCTTATATTTTTTAATTATCAGTTAATTATCAGTCAGTTCCTAGAACACCCTTTTACTTAAAACGGTAATAATTAAACTTGCATACGAATACTTTTATGATTTAGATAAATGGCATTTCTGTTGTACAGACTTGTTCTGAATTTTCATCGTTTCCTTTCAATATACTAAATAGACTTTTATCGTTCGGAGGGAATCGGTGTCTTCTAGAAATCGCAGAATCAAAGAATAAATTAACAAACTCTTAATTGATTACTTCAAAATAAAACTTTTCATATAAATGCATCTTTGAGAAACAATGTTACATAATTTAGCGTTATTTCTTTTTTAAATAAATAAATAGTTTTTCACTATTTTCCTTAAATAACTGAAAATTAATCAGTGATGGAAAAGTTGTTTAGCTTTAGAATAATATAAGAATTGATTTTATACCTTCTCTTATATTCTCAGTTTAAGTTTCTTTTTTTGTGAGAGTGCTTTTTTTTTTTTTTTTTTTTTTTTTTTTTTTTTTTTTTTTTTTAGTCGCGGGCCAGAAAGTGTTAAGAAGTCATTTTAAAAGTTAAATGAAAAAGTAATTTTAACATTTTGTTCTACGTAACAAATTTTGATCCTAAGATTTAAAATTTCTTAAAATATTATAATAATAAATATAAGAATGGACTAACATTTTGGTATTTTTCTTCAATCTTTATACTGGATGCAAGGCTATTTACCAGTTCAAAGTTTGTAGAAAGAAGATTTAATGTTTATATAGCTGAATGAAAGAGCAAAGTATATTCATAGTCTTAACGGAAAGTACTTTTCTTTCGACAGTTTTTCATGAAAATCAACAAAAGCAGTTTTCTAGGGATAAAATCCAATATGAGACAACAGAAAGCATTTGCATTCCATCCTGATATTTTTATTATAATATATTCCTTTTCTCAATGCTGAACGCTCTTCCTCAAATGTAAAAAATTATTATTATATTAAAAGAATTTGTATTTTTTTAAACTTTCTTTAAACTACTCGAAGTCCTCATGTCTTTGAAATTATTTATACATTTGTAAAGATTGTATCATGACATTTTCTTTAGCGAAAAATAAAATTGCTTTAGATAAAAAGACCTAAATTTCATCCAAATGCTAAAGTGTTTTAAATTATCATTAACTTCAAGAATTTGTTTTTTTAAGGTACCAGCCTTTCCTTTCGTTCTGTTCGAATGAACTTTGGCTGTAAAAGTAGTCCAAAACTCATTTTTATCTCATCTCGTAGAAGTAAAATTTCCGGTTCTTATATGTTCACAAGAAATCTTTTTCTAGTATAAGTAGAATACACTCTGAAATTTGACTATATATACAACAGACATTTGACTATATACAAGGCTCCTAACATTACGGATTCATAAATATGTAAGCAATTTTTATACTTTTTGTAAAGAAACTTATTAATAATAGTATTCAAAATTATTTTAATAACATACAAATGTTTGATATGTCACATATGCTTACGTTCAGGATTTGCGCATTTTTATAACTCCTTGAACGTTAAATTTCCTCTCTTTAAGTACCTATAAAATTTGGCTAAAGTTAAAAATTTAGAATAAAAATTACTCAGTATTTTAAGAACTTAATTTAGATACCATGTCCTCACATTACGCTCATAAATCCAAAAAAATGAGTTAAACAAACATTAATGCCCCATAGATATAGTTCGTACGCTTACATAGTTTCATTTAATAGAGGGCAAATAATTATCACAGCAATATGTACAGGGTTATTGATAAGTCCTTAAAACATTTTTGAAGATTCATAACTAAAAACTACACGATCAATACCAAGTTTTATTACTTCAAAAAGAAGATAAACACATTAATCTTCTTACATATTTCACAAACTCTCAATATGACCACTTAGCACCTTAACTGAAACGGCAAATATGTATGCATAGTTAGGAAGACTGTTGTCACAGACGCTGCTTTTATTCGACTGTTGTCACAGTCGAATAAAAGCAGCGGCGATTACCTCTTTCGGCAGGACAGTTATCCGGCTCGTTTTTAGATAGGGACAGCATCGTAATCACAGTTTGCAGCAAGTATACAAGATGAGCAGATGAGGTATTAACGAGATGATTATGCCGACTAATCCTTGTGACGTTTTCTTATGTGAGTTTTTCAAGAATAAAAGATCAATAACATCTTTGTTTACCCACTGCCAACAACAATAACAGTATTACCTATGATCGACAGTAACATATTAAAATCTGTAGTCGAGTGCAATATATTAGCATGTTTGGGAAACGAAACAGATTATTGCATAAAATTTTATGAAATAAGTAGAAAACATTTTGGTGAGTTTTAATTCAGTCGTTGAACATTCATTGAATTTTATTGAACATTTCAGTCTTTTTATTATAATATTATTATTTCAAGTCATGTGTACGTGAACCTTTACTAATAACATGAAATTAAATGTTTTTTAATTTTTATTTTTACTTATTTATTTATTTATTTTGCAGTAGTATATTTTCTATTTAGTTTTTCTTTCGTTATTAATATTAAAACATAACTATTTAAAATCTATAAATACATTAAATAAAAATAAAAATACATTTTGTGAGTATTTTCTGATATCATGACTATTTTTAGCCATCGACATATGCTCTAACAGCCCTCTAAAAAGAAAACAAATATATATCATAAAGACTGGAATTAGAAGGCATTATGGAGAAATGTGAGAAAAGAGATGGCTCAACTACCTCATCACAATTTTTACTGATTCGAAAGCTCTGATGTTCACGCTTGAAATTCTACAAGACTGAATCAGACGGCGTCATAGCTAGATATCAGAACAGAAATGCAATAGTTAATATCTAATATTTTTAAAGTCGTTGTTACGCTATTCATTTAATTTGCAGAAGACTTGAGGAATGATTATACATTTCAACTTAGTTAATAAAGAGCTTAGTTTTAAGACATAAATTTACTCACCTTCTACCAAAAGTTGGCCAGACGCTGTGTCAGAACCAGCAGCGTTGGATACCATGCATGTGTAATTACCGACATTTTCCGCTCGTAGTTTGTCCATCAGGTAGACGGAAGAACGAACATCATACGATGTAACCTTCCCAAGTTCCTCTCCTCTGATCTCCCTGCCATTAAAGTACCACCTAAATGTCACAGGTAGATCTCCTCTTCTGAGGGTGCATATGATATCAGCTCTCTCGCCAAGCCTCAGTTCTGCTGGTATCATCAGTGGTTTCTGCAGAGCTGGAGCTTCTGTAAAGAACGCAAACATTAAAACTAAGTGAGGAATTTGCACAAAATAAAGAATTTAAAACATTATATTATATATTAAAATCTCACCATTACTCTCAAACGCCTTATGGACACGATTATAAATTTCATATGTGTAAATAGCATTTAATATAGAGATGGTGTATATTTGTATTATAATTGATTTTTCCGTTTTTTAAATGTAATATTACATATAATGTCAATTCTCCCGCAATTTAAAATTTTGATTTTTCTAAAGAAATATTTTGCATCAGTTTTAAGACCCATTATCAATTTTATCTAATACTTTTTGGTTAATAAGTACGAGATAGCTTCAGAAAATGGATGGAATATTGATTCATCCGAATTTAAAAGTTCGCCGAAGTCATACGATGAGAAACATGACTATGCCATCTATGTGCAACAGAAGCAAGAACAGTTTTTCCCAGTGATCAATATACATGGTTATCAGAGGTGGCACGCAATAATACCACTCCAGGAAGATGATAACGAATCCCATATACAGGACACACCTAAAATTAGAACACGTTTTAAAACTTCCAAAAATTTGAAAAATGCCGTAATAAGATGCATCTTGCAATAAAATGTATTTCATGAACTTGGAGTTTTTCCACCCGAAAAAAGTTAGCATTTCATTGACTGAGGCCATTGTGTAGCTATTATTTTCTCCGAATGATATTTAACGAAAGAAACTTTGCTGGAATATCATATGGTTTCTTCATTACGCAATGTTTCCCAATTACTAGTGTTGAATGTATCCCCCACTAGAGCGAAAAGGATTTTCGACATAAGTTACAGACTTTCATTTCCCGAATCCTATGCAAACCGTGTAGCACCACATATATGTGAATTCTAGCAGAATATTCAGTGAAGGTGTTAGCACTTTTCGTGAAACTTTAAAACCCATGAATCTGCCAAGCTCAAAATACTGCCAATTTTTCATAATATGCTGCAACTGTATCTTTACTCGCTGCAACCGTGTCCATAAATTGGTCCATAAATGGGAAAATAATGAGCACGGAAATATGTTGTTAATAATGAACGGTGAATTCTGAATATCCTTTTGTGAAATGAAGAACATTTTTCTTTGAAAGATAAAGTTACTAACTACAATTGCCGAATGTTGCCGAAAGACAATCCAAGTGCATACACAAAAGAGTATTAGATTGATACAGGGCTGGTGTGTGATGCTATTTCATGGCCTCCACTATCACAGACTTCTTCATTTTTGAAAAAAAGAAAATATGCTGCCTAACAAGATTGCATTACCAGAAAATGTTCCCCAAAGATGCTGTGCTATGTTTGAAGAAATGAAATTTCATACAGACTGTCACATTTATACAAAAGAGTATACGCCCCTTCATATAGCATCTCCAACGATGCACTTTCTGATAACAACGTTTAATTCTCCAGCGACTGATTAGTCGTTTATAGTCTACCTATTAGAGTCCTCGATCACCAAACTTTAGGGCCTTGAAATTTTAGTTGGGAGATTTTTGAAGTCCCATGTATACATCAGCGACCCATCATTTCTAGCGCAACTAAATTATGCTATCCGTCGCAAAACTAGTTTCTTAGAACCAGATATGTTTCTAGGTTTAACGATGTTATCACACTCTTGCACAATGGGTTTGTCTACGATAGGAGACACTTTGAGTAGCTGATACTGTGAAACTCTGTGTAATGAAAGAACTTTATGGCATCTGTGCTTGCTTTCTTCTGTTAAATGTCGTCTAACAATGTAGACAATAACAAATAAATGTAGGACAATAACACAGCGCCATCTCTAGACGAAATTCGAATTAAAATCTTATTACTGCCCTAAATATCCAAACTCTTGGGACGTATTGATGCAAATAACCAAAAGTCGTTCGTTTTTTCTAAATTAAAACCCTCGCAATGTTTGGTATATTCTGTATTACGTCAACGTCAGAGCAAATATTTACCTTGCGTTGTCTCCAAACGAGTTTTATAGCTTCCCTTTATAGATATCCACACCGAAAGAACAGTTTTGTAGACACTTTACATCTACTGCGACAACCCTTCTTGAAAGCAATAAAATTAAATGCTTATAAGAAGCCAAAACACATTAATACTTGTTAAGAGTAACAAGGCCAAAACGATTAAGCGGATGGATCATCAGTACTTTGTCGTTAGCAATAACGGATGTAGTTCTGTTATACTAGTATACTGTATAAATCTTTTGCAAGTGAGGTAGAGACAAGTGCATAGAACGCTAAAGCTTTGTTGTAAACTTTATGAATGATTCGTGTATAAAGGGCAAAGGCGCTTATTTTGTTGAAAGTGTACTTTTGTTGAAAGTCATTTAAAAGGTAACGGCCTTTTCACATTACCCTCTGCAGTATGTGAGTTATTGGAGAGGCTATCATACCTTAAGGATAGGGCTCAAATTAGAAAGTGGGCTTAGATATGTTGCATATTTACATAATATAAACCTGTTGTATCTCTGTTGCATGGGAACACATAAAAGGCTCAAGATTAAAGTCTTAGCCAGAATCTGTAGCACAGAAAAGGATGTACTCCTCATATGGCCTCCTCCCAGGATGTTTTTAAATCAGAAGTAGGATAGATGACAAACAAACTTTACAAATTTCAATGACAGGCATTCTCTCTTCCTACCCACCAGCATTCATGAGATTGTTCCAGTGATCACAAATTCGAGCCTGAGAATTAGCAAAATAAATCATAAAATCTTTTGGAAAAGATATTATATAACTATAACTAACGATGGCGCGGAAGTGAAATAACCATATGTTATTTATTGCTGTATAAGAAGAGTTTTATAATAATTATTCCATTTATTATTTTGGCTGTACTTTCACTTTCACTTTAGTCAACTCTGATCGGAATGCAAATTAATTAAAGTATAAACAATCGCAGAGTTCTTTAATTTAGAGAAAAAGCTTTTGGCAGCATAAAAGGATTTAGATTTCTCATTAGTTATATAAATGAAACCATGTTGTATAAATATACGTTTTTACGGTTGTCATTTCACATGCGCTTTCCCTTAAGGATTTTTCTCGTCAAATTTTTGTCGTCATTTAAAACTCAAAACTGAACAATTAATTAAACAGTATTAAAACACATTTAGCTAAAGGACATGATAATGGCAAAATAATGAGAAATGTTAAGATTTACAATAATTTTAATAAGACAAAAACGTATGTTCACATTAATAATCCCTCATTATACACATATGTGCAAAAATATTGTTTGCCCAGTTCTAAACATATGAAGTGTTTACTCAGGAAACACTCACCCAAACTTAACACTAGGTTAAGCTTCTAAGATTAAATTTCAAATAGTTATCCGGTTACGAGAAGCGTGAAAGTTGTGTAACCAGCAACAAACATTTTGATTGCTATAGTTATTGCATGTTTTAAGAAATATCTCACTCCTTGTGCCCGTTTTAGCACGTAGTTAGTACATTTAGCTAGCGAATGGAAGATTCGGGGGTTGAAACGCGATGAGGGCACGATTTACGTTTTATGTTTCCTGCACTTTAATTCTAGATAATCCCTATAAGGACTTTCGAACTAAACTTGCTGGACCTAAAAATAGTTAGTGCGTCACCACCTGGATTCGACTGGTAAAATCTTGTGCTTTTTCCCAGTTACCCATTAAGTGAATTATAATATAAGAAATTATTGCTCGTGTTTTTCATGGTTTAAGATTTAGCTCGGCCAGGGGCAAATCAAAAGCCTTGGTTCAAACTCCGACAAAGCACTGTTATTTTTCAGGTTTCACGATCTGAAAAACTTACCTGCTGGATTCAATCGACTGGATCTCTATCCTTTTTCTGAACTGGAGGAGATTGTAAGAAGTTATCGCAATCCGCCGTGTGTGCTTTTGTGGTGTACGTGAATAGCACATCCAACTAAGAGTTGGAAGATCTATGATTCGAATTCCGTAGTGGATACAATTAATTTGCCACGTTCCGTAACTCCGAAAAGTCTAAACAAACGACTAAACTCGGTAAAGTATTTTTCATATGTATATTTCTGAAATGAATGATGGACTGCTTTCCTTCCCTAAAAATAGACAGAAAGAGACAGAAATCGAAACGAACTGAGAAATCCGAAAAATTAAAGCTATTACTCAAAATCTAAATAAAAGCTCATACAAATGTAATCGCAGTAAAATATTCTACTTGTAAATATACAAACACCATTCTGTTTTTTCTTAAATGCTTTACAATCAGTCTCATATTTTTTGGGATGATACATTTGCATTTGTATTACTGGATTTAATTTTCCACACTTTTTTTATTTCCTCAGACTTAGTTTTTCACTCTACATCAACGTAATCTTTCACGAAATATGCCTTCTTAGAACTTAAAAAATTCTACATCCTAACTCCGCTGTAAATTAACATAGTATGTGTTTCACTCTCTCAGACACTTCTCTTCTCTCAGGAGACATAAATGATATAATATTTAGAAGTAAATCTCATTAGGCAATGGAATAAAATTGCAATATTTTGTAACTGAGAAAAGAACGTGGAAAACGCAGAAAATTAATAATATGTATTTAATTAACGCACCTAATTAAAAATCCAGACAAGTAGAAAGTTACACGTAGCTCTCGGTTAATTTACAAAACCTCGTGCCTGATCTTTTCCTATGCTTACAATAATATTAATACATGCAGGAGGAGAAAAGAAGCATGTCAACTCTCCTGTAGTTCTCTAGAAATTTAATGCGAGAAAATCCCTGCGGCATTCTCGTTCTGGGGAAAATAAAAGTATTTATTCCCTACCGTCCGATTAAAGGTGTTGATTTAAATGCAGTCTCCAATTGCATTAGATGCATTTTAAATGCAGCTGTGTCGTGAATGTACAATTAACATTTTTCGGAGGTTCTCGCAGTCTTAGGTTTCGGATGAGTTAAAAACTTGCTGTAATTTGATTTTCAGAACTTTGTTTCGCCATTAGCGAGTTCCACGACAAGTGAAAAGGA